TAAGAAAGATAAATAAGTTAAAAAGAGAGAAAAATGGAAATATCTAAATTGCCAAAGATAAATAAAGAGGAAACAGTTTAAAAGTGTAGAAATATATTAAAAAAGAAAAAAAGTTAATGAATCAAGATAATTGTATAAGGAATGAAATTTTTATTGTTGTCACAATTTGTGAATACAGAAAGGAGGTATAAAAAAAACAAGCGAAATAAAATTGTAGGATTTCAAAGTTAGAAAGGAATGGAAATTTATCAGGGAATGAAGAATTATATTCTTGTAACTGGGATAATTGAAGAAGTGAATGAATGAAATGTAACCATGGTTGCCAAGCTCAAAGAATTCCAGAAAAAAACATACAACGAGATGGAAGGAAACCAGTAAAAAAGGGGATGATTTTAAAATGTGATGTCAATCGTTATCTACTGTCATATCCTGATTACTCTTTCCTCTTCTTGCTCATTATTAATGTTTCTGTTCCTAATTCTTCCACACCTTGTAACTCCTTGTGTCTTAGTGGTTTTACTGGCTTGGATGGGGTGAACAAAAAGAAAGAATGCAAGAAATGAATGAAAACTGACTCGAAAATTTCAAGATGGCTGTGTAAAGACAAAGAAAACAGTGAAAACAGAAATAAGAGTTGAAGAGAAGAAAAATGAAAAATGTTTCTAAGAAGGTTGAAGCAAAGAACTGGTAAAATGCAACAGAATCAAGAATTTCAATGCTTACAAAATTAAATAGGTGAAATGTGCATTGACAAAGAATAAGCAAGGAAGATAAAAATGACGGAGTGCATAGCAACCAAATCAAAAATGACGGAGTGCATAGCAACCAAATCAAAAATGATGGAGTGCATAGCAACCAAATCAAGGTAGAAGAGAAACCAGAAATTTCTTGAAGAGATTGAAATAGGTTAACAAAGGAAAGCATAAGTTCACAAAGAGGAAAATGAAAGAGAGTCTAATGCGTTCAGCATCAATAAAGAGACTGTATTTTTTTAAAAATGGTGCCAAAATGAAGAAGCTATGAATGAAGTAATTAAAAATGGTTTTAAGGAGTCCTACCAAGGTTTTAAGAAGGAACAAGCTAAATATACATATTAAAAATAAAAACATTTAATACAACCAAGATATTGGAAGGAAGACTCAAGATAATATGAATGATTCCATGATATTCAAAATATCTAGTTTCAGAATTGGTAAAAATAACTTAAGATATACTCTAGAAAAAAATGATGAGATTAAATGAAAAATACTAATGGAAAATAATGAATATTGGCAAGAAATGTTATATAAGAAATAAATGAAATATAAGCGATTTCTCCACATCCAACAAAGATTAAAAAAAAAAGGAAGAATGAAAGATAATGAAATAAATAAAGAGTATTTCTCTTTCCACAGGAAAGATTAAAATAAAAAAGCAATGGAAGAAAATCAGTGAATAATTAAGAGGTAAAAAAAAAAAGTAAAGAAAAAAAAAATTTTTTTTCATTTCAAGAAAGAAAGTAAGGAAGGAAACGGATGGTGAAAAATATTGCTATGGCTAAGAATGATTGATTAAGAAAACGAAAGGAATACAGCAAGAGAAATTGAAAAAGGGAAGATTGGACTACGACACCTGAAAGAAAAAGTAAACAAATAAAGGTGTTCAATGAAGATAAGTTAAGCAAAGGAGAGAATGGAAAATAAAAAGAATAACATGCAGAAAATGAAAAAAAAAAAAATTAAGGATCTGAGGCTGAGATATGTTAAGAAGAAAACATGTAGAATCGAGAGAAACAAAAAAACTGGAAACACTCAGAGCAAAGAAATAATCATGATAAAGAGAAAAAAGATACTCTGTAAGTAAAATCGGTGAAAAAGGGAACAGAAGGATATATATATATATATATATATATATATATATATAAAATGAATTATTCTCAGTAAATCCTATATGTGTGAAAAAGTAAAAAAAGAATATGTAATGTGAGAATTGGGAATAATACCTATCATAGGGAAATAATTATACATATACATATATATATATGTGTGTGTGTGTGTGTGTGTGTGTGTGTGTGTGTGTGTGTGTGTGTGTGTGTTGGATAGTATAATGAAGGAGAAAATAAAAAACAAACTTTGCAGAAAATATACATTGAATGAAGTTTTTGTTTTTTTTTTGTTTTTTTTCGCAATATAGCCAAAAAATTTGTGTGCAAACAGTGAGAGTGTGATGAAGTTAAACCATTCTGAGCATGGTTTGTGTGTAATGGGGGAAAGGGGCAGCAGCGAGTGAAGGGATGAAAAAAAAAAAAGAGATGTGGTAAGTTGAAGAGGTTCAGATAAGATGGAATGGTCAGGTATTATGTTTTCTTCATCTGTTCAGTATAGCTTTGATGCTGATCAGCCAGTCTTGACATGGAGGGAAAGGTGGGGGGTGGAGAGAAACTGGAGAAAAAATATGGGAAAATAATGGATCCATTTCCAGTTTGCAGCCTGGAATATGAGAGGAAAATATACTTGGACATTCAGTTATTTTCTTTTATTTATTTTACTATACTTTGGAGATGAAATTATTATTATATTTTTTGGCCTTTTTTTTTATATTCTGTTGATCACTCGTGGGTTTTATTTCTTCAGTCGACAATGCTTCAATCATAAAATCACGGATGATTAAATTTTAATTCTTTCATGAAAGATGATTAAATTTTTTATTTTTTGTGAAAACATGAAAATTTGTCTTTAATTTTAATTTGAGTCATTGTGATTTTCAAGAGTTGTCCAGACTTTAATTCATCCTTTTTTTTTTTAATGGAGTGTTAATAACTTGACATTTAATGATGAGATTAAATGAAAAACATTTAAGGAAAATAATGAATATAGAAGAAATAAATGAAATCCAACAAAGATTAAAAAGCGCAAGATTATTTTAACTACATTCACCCCTCAGCAATGTTTATTGTTTTAAAAAGTGATTGTAATAAAAACTAAACATATGAAAGTGAATTTATACACTTCCTTTGTTCTTGAGAATTGACAACAAAAGTAATAAACACAATTTATTTATTCGACTGTTTATTTACACTATTTATTGTTTATTGAAATAGATGGCAACTGGTTCAAATTTTATAAAATGGCATATAATAAGGATTTCCTGAGAGTTTATATATTTTAATAATTTAGTAAATGTTCATAAATTTATGAATAAAAAATTTTCATATTTATTTCTATATAAATTAATAAATAATAAATATTGGATTGCATAAATTTTAATTGCATTAGTTTTTAGAATGCTGTAAATATAAACATTTTCTTGTAAATAAACAGTCAAATAAATAGTGTTTAATATTTTTTGTTGTAAATTCTCAGGAATAAAAATGTGTAAATTCCCTTTCATCATATGTTTAGGTTTTATTACAATTCTAATCATCCCTTTTGAGAACAATAAACATTACAGAGGACTGAAGGTAGTTAAAATAATATTGGTGTCAATGGAAAAACCATTCTTTTGACATCCCATTTTTTGACAGGCACAAAGGTTCAAGTTTGCAAACTTTCACCAAAAAAGAGATTGCGTACCTGATGAAGTTTGTCAAATGAATCAGCAGAAAGGGGGTAACAACAAAAGCTTAATAAAAAATGATTTTTTTTTTTTGAAAGCATTTCACCCCAAGCAAGGCTGGAAGCCACTAGCACGCAAGGGGTTATAGAGGATTTGGAGTGAGAGCAGATAGGAATGATAGAGGAAAGGATGAGGAGAAGGGTAGTGGATAGATCAAGGCAACTGGAGATGTCGATTGACATTACATTTGAATAGTTGGAGATTATAGCTATCAGAGAAACAGGAATAGGGAAGGGAGTTCCACAGGCAAAAGGTGCGAGATATGAAGCTATTGGAGTAGAAGAGGCGTCTATATTTAAGTTTCAACAGTGAAAGGGTGAGAGCGGGATGCCAGCAGAACAACTTCCAGAACTAAATTAAAACTTTTGTACCGCTTGGCCAAATTTTCAACTGCAATTTTTTTTCATACTGTTGAACCTATTTATTATCATATTTTTACCAGATCGACAAGTTTGTAAAACGGACCATTATAGATTTAATGGCATGGATTTCTTCATATGGTTTACTGAGAATAGGTTTGTATGTTTGGCTTTCATTGCTGGAAATGAGCCAAATGTGTCAGTAGACATATGCAAATCATCTGTGTTATACAGGTTGTTGAGAATGGTATCCACTGTATTGCTCACATTGCTGGAATTGAGCTAAGCTGGTTGTTGTATTAGCTGTCATTTCTTGTCAGTTCATTATTTATTTTTGTTAAACAGAAAATCCTCTCTTTCACATATTGATTGTATACTCAAAGAAGGCTGAAGCATGAATCAGCCAAAACATTGTGGTGACAACAAAAGCAACACAGAAAACAAATAGAAAAGTTTGCTATATAAACCGTAATTTCGTTCTATACAGTGTCAGAGTTAAGACTTTGAGAGACAATGTGTTCAAGAGGTAGTGATACCTGGTGACCAGTATATACAGGACAGGTCCTGAATTTAATGAATTTATCCTGTTTTCTATCTATATTAACTTTATCAGAACAACTTATTAACAACAAGTTTCTTCCTGTACTGATGATTTTAAGAATAAATTATATAATTTTTAATTTAATCTTGATGACTGTGTCACCAATACTTTTAATATATAAATTTTTTCCATGGAGTAATATCACTTAATATCAATTTACATAGTTATACACAAATTAGAAATCCTATGATCTTAAATTTGTACAGGGTGCTCTGTATTTTAATGGGAAAAATCTAGCCACTCCATCATGTGAGGAAGGGCATAATCTTAAATTAGACACCTGTTAATATAGATGGTTATTGGATGAATCCAACACAGACACAAACGGACATTTATATACAAAACAAACTTTAAGACAAGTGAACCCACTGTGTACCCCACCACACCTAAAGGGGCTCTGTCTTAATATACTCTAGTCTTGTTTAATACATACAACACATAACATTGGTTTCTCCGAGAACAGCAATGATTTTAATTTTCTTCTGAATTTTTAAAAGGTATTTGTTTATTCTGTTTTATATCCTGAAACATTTTTACTTGTATTCAAATTAAATAAGTTAATTAATTATAGAAAAGATTTTTTTTTCTCTGTAAAAGCTAAAAGCTAAACATGCAAATGTACACATTATGGCTTCTAAGACCTTGACTATGAGTCTGAAACCCTACAATTTTTTCCAATTAATTGAGCCCAACAGCTCATGAGGTTGGCCCCTTTTATAGTATATTATAAAGATCAAACTCACTGCTAGTGAATTTGATCCTTGCATGCTAGCCATTGCTCTACAGCAGGCTCTCATATTAGTTAATGGCAAAGCTTTCAGAAAAACATTTTTATTATTGACATAATCACACATCTATCTAACTATATATATACATATATATATATATATATATATATATATATATATATATATATATATATATATATATATATATCAGGTCATCCCATAAGTTCTGTCCGAATTTTGAATAAAGAAACAAGTGACCAAATGTTACATTTAATTACAGATTCAATCAACAATGTATTTTCCCTGATTATCTATGACTTCCTTCCATCTATTAACAAGCTTACTAATTCCATTACTGTAAAAATTCTTTTGGCTTTGATTTGAAGAACTCACAAATGTCAGTTTTAACCTCTTCCTGTGTTACAAAAGCTGTTTCTTCCAAATGATTCTGTAAGCTACGAAACAAATGGTAGTCTGAAGGAGCAAGATCGGGAGAATAAGGTGGATGAGGAATTTTCTCCCAACCAAGTTCTTTTTGATCTTTTGTGACGTGATTCTTGCTGTGTGGGTCGCACATTGTCCTGATGAAACATCACCTCTTTTTTGATTCACTAGAGCAGGTCTTTTTTTTCCTCAAAGCTTGGTTCAAATGCTCTAATTGCTGACAGTATATTGTTGCATTAGGTGGTAAGAATCCAAAGTGGATTATTCCTTGGTGATCCCACCAGATTGAAAGAAGTACCTTTTGCCCATGAAGTTCCCTTCTCAGCTGTGGCTGGGGTCCTTCCCCTTTACCAAGCCACTGTCTACGATGCTTAACATTTCGATAAAAGATTCATTTTTCGTCGCCAGTCACAAGTCTATCCAAAAAAGGTGAAACAAGTTGGCGAGAATGGAGAGACGAGCAGATGTCAACTCGGGATTTGAGGTTGTTTTCAGACAATTCATGAGGCACCCATTTTCCAAGTTTAGGAACTTTTCCAAGTGGTTGAAGATGACGATGAACCGTTGTATGGTTTGAACTGAGAACCACTGCCAATTCCTCAACTGATAAAGCAGGATTTTCTTCAAGGGCTGCATCAAGAAGCTTTTCATCAAACTCAACTGGATGTCCGTTTCGATCTTCGTCTTCAAGGGTGAAATCTCCACCTCTGAATTTTGCAAACCATCTTCTGCAAGTTCTTTTATTCACACATTCCTCTCCATAAACTGAGTGAATGTTTCTAGCCGCTTCGGCTGCTGAGTTTCCTTTCTTGAACTCATAAAGCATTATGTGCTTCAAATGATTCTTGGGTACTTCCATGTTAGCAAGGTTTTAATCAAATAAAATTTAATTTTATTGTTCTCTGAAATAAAATTTGATCAGTTTAAATGCATCTAAACATAAAAATAATGTTCAACTCCATTAGACATTATAAAATACTCTTTAAATTTTGCTCATTTTAACAAAAACTTAAAATTCGAACAAAACTTATGGGATGACCTGATATATATATTATTAACTAAAGAATATCAACACTTAAAATCCCATAGGTAATAATTTTCTCAATCCTCATTTGTGATTCGTTTGTAGGTCTTGAAGATATTCTTTAATTAATAATTATATATATATATATTAAAAAATTATATCAAAATAGGTCAACACTCTTTGCCTTTTCCCACTCTCTAAATAATATAGCTATATCATGGTTTTAGCCCGGAATAAATTTTTTTCCATTTCATTTGTGTTTTGTTTGTAGGTCTTGAAGATTGAGAGTGGTTTTTTTTTTTTTTTTAAAGGTGTCATGAAATAAAAATTATTATCTATGCGATTTTAAGTGTTTGATATTTTTTAATTAATAAGTTTGCTCTGTCTTTTGATTTAGAGCACTCCCTGGATCTATATCCTCCTGTAAATTCCATACAGGTTACAATATTGTATCATTAATATATATATATATATATATATATATATATATATATATATGATTTCCATTAGTTATCTGTCATCACACCATCTAAAATTGACCAATCAAAATCAGATTTGGCGGGAGAATTAAAAACAAGTAAAAGGGATACAAAGTGCAATTAGTCTTACTAGGACACATATCTTAGTACAATAAATTTTGATTAATTTTTTGGGAAAAATGAAAAGTGTTATTAATTAACATAGAAAATACTCCCACTATTTAAAAACTTTTAAAATAAGAAATACTTATTTAATAAAAATGCAATATTG